AGAGAGAGAGAGAGAGAGAGAGAGAGAGAGAGAGAAAGAAAGAGAGAGAAGGGGGGAGGTGTACTATTACAGAAAAAAACCAAATATTGGCAGGCTCTAGGGGTTAGAAAAAAAAAAGTACACATTAGAGCAAAAAACCAAAAGCTTTTTTTTTTCAGCCGAAAAGATGAAGCTCTCGTTCCAGAGCCCATGTACACAACATGGCATTTCTAGAGCGGGATAAATTGTTTATCTTTGAGCAGAGTCTATCCGCAAAAAAGGCAAATAAATACTCCTTCTCCCTGAGGAAATTGCTTCTTTGCCAATATGAAACCGTCACTTTCTGACATTAGCGAAGAAACACTGTCTTCATATTTTGTGTTACTTGCAGTTTTCAGTCTGAGCATAATAGCATCCACAGTGGACCTCTAAGGAAATTTATATACCGGGGCAGCGTTTTTTTGTTGCTGTTGGGGAGATGTGGGCCGATTGATTTGAAAATCTGACACCGCCTGTTGCACAAAAAAACCTCAATCAAAACAAAACCTGGGTCTTTATCTCATAAATTTTCAGGTAAAAAAGTATAAAACTATTTAGAAATTCTTTTAGAATCATGTACTTTTAGCTTGAAAATAGGGATAGAAAGTGATCAAAGACAGTTTTTACCCTTTTAATCTGGAACCACATTTCTTTGGGAAAACAAAAGATCTAAGACGTTTCCAGTATTGAACAATATGAGGTTATGCCATTCAACAGCACTGCAGTTAATATTAATTTTTCATCTCATGATCACAGAGCATAAGTATTGATGCTATTTGGCAACAAAAAGAAGCCCCTAAGAAAGAATAAACAGGAGAAAAGGGAGTGAAATGCCAGATACGTGTGTGCACACACACACACACACACACACACACACACACACACACACACACACACACACACATCATGCACGCGCACGCACACACACACACATGAAAACACACACATATGCATACACACAAATGCATAAACACAAACAGAGATGCTCTCTTACACACACTCTCACACACTCACAATTGAACATATATTATACAAGCAAATGTACACCCTCAAACATACACATTTCAATAAATAGACAGAAACAAGCAGAAAGACAGTAAAAGCATGTGCAAACAGGTAAACAGACTGATTGACATGCAAACTGACAGGAAGTAAGTAGACACATAGACATACAGACAATCAGATAGGGGGAAAAACAGTGGGAATGATCAGACACAAATACAGACAGGCACCACATTATACATAGGAAGAGTCAGAGAGAAAAAAAACCCAGACAGTCACATTTGTCATCACATACACACTAACAGTGACACACAAGCAGTCACTTACGGTGTGTCTGGGAGGCCTGAAAGTCCTCAAATCGGCGGGAAACGAAGTAGGAGACCAGATCCGACAACTCTTTAGCCAGTTTGTGCTTTTTTATGGAACCCTCCTAGGGAAAAAGAAAATGCAGGTCATTTACTTGGCAAACATTTCTGTTCTCTTTTGCTTTTCTCTTTGTTACTGTGATAAAATTGGCGAAGCTGAACACCAGACAATACACCCTTGTTTGTTTGGGTAAAAAGATGCACATCGGCGCAATAGTGGTCTCTTACGGCATGGAAAAAGCAAAACAAACAGAGACAACTGGAGGAAAGACGTTCTCCACCTACACACTGATATGCTTTACTTTACTAAACATTACAATAAGGTCATTTTGAATACGACTATCTCCTGGAGCTCTGAACAGAGGATACCAAATTTGGCCCCAAAAATCGGGAGGGAAGAGGGGCTTGGACCATTCAGAACCGACTCCAATCAGAACCTGTCCTGTTTGCATGATTGGCTTGCCAAGTTTGAAGCATGCAGAGAAACAGCGAATCTCATTGTATAAGTTTAAGGCCCCTCTCCACCCTGTAACATTATTTTTTAAGCGGGACCCCCTGAATCAAACATCCATTTTCAATAAGACCCAATTAAATGGGCGGAACGCAGTTAAAACTCTCCAAATCGACTCAAGTTTAGAATGTCCTGTTGGTATTTCAAACCAGGGACACCTGCCCCATAGTCCAGCATGATGCTAACTGATCCAATGGTGCAGAAATAGTGAAGGGCCAGCTACTTTGAGAAGATTCTCCAAATAACATTGCTTTTTTAACTCTTTCAGGCTGTTATTTCAGTGGTAATCATAATGAGCTGTTGTTTAGTCATGTGGAGACAGAGTTAGACTTGCCTAAACTATGTAATCTGTTGTTTATATGCCTTTTCACTTTTTTGCCAATCAAAGTGGAAAAGGAGGGTGGGGCCCTAGGTGTGATAGCTTACCATATATGGATGAAGAACAACAAAAAATCTCACTTCCCCAATACAGCTTTATCCCATCTGACCATGTCAGCATAAGTATCAAACCACCACCTCAAAGCACAATAATGAACTAATTACACCTACCCTTTTGCTGCTTTTCTTCTTCTCTGGCTCCGCACCCTCATCCTCATCGGTGACA